TGTCACAGTAAAATACAGACCATGGACTTGTCACAGTAAAATACAGACCATTGTCTTGTCATGGTAAAATACATACAGATCATGTGTTATCACAGTAAAATATATACCATGGTCTTATCACAGTTAAATACAGACCATGGGCATGTCACAGTAAAATACAGGCCATGGACTTGTCACAGTAAAATACAGACCATTGTCTTGTCATGGTAAAATACAGATCATGTGTTGTCACAGTTAAATACAGACCTTTTGCTCGTTACAGTAAAACACTGGCCTATCACAGATTTTTTTTTTTTCACAAGACAAAACATATATGACGTTATACATAAGTACATAATTGTTCATACATATTAAACAAAGGTGTGTATAAAGTTTTAACTAGTTTTGTAAACTTTGTTTTACACTCGCACTAGACATCATCATCTTCCTGTCATTATTCTTAACATTATCATCATCACAGAAATATACCCAGCATCAGCTTTATTGTGAAAATGCATATTGAGGTCTTGTCAACACAGAACTTTTATACAGAGCATCAATTTGCCCTGTTAGCGAGAATACTATACAAGCAGATCAAAAGTATAAATGTCCTCCAGGATGCGAATGTAGGAAGGTTGTATAGTGGTAAATAGAGGAAGGCCAAAACAAAAAACACTGAAGTTAAAAGATTGACCCATTTATTCATGCAATAGCATTAACAAACATAATTCATCAGCTTGATCAGAGAACATAATTCATAAGCTTCTTTGTGATCAGAGAACATAATTCATAAGCTTGATCAGAGATCAGAGAACATAATTCATAAGCTTCTATGTGATTAGAGAACATAATTCATAAGCTTGATCAGAGAACATAATTCATAAGCTTGATCAGAGAACATAATCCATAAGCTTGATCAGAGAACATAATTCATAAGCTTGATCAGAGAACAATTCATAAGCTTGATCAGAGAACATAATTCATAAGCTTGATCAGAGATCAGAGAACATAATTCATAAGCTTGTTAAGAGAACAACTTCTTTGTGATCAGAGAACATAATCCATAAGCTTGATCAGAGAACATAATTCATAAGCTTCTTTGTGATCAGAGAACATAATTCATAAGCTTGATCAGAGATCAGAGAACATAATTCATAAGCTTCTATGTGATTAGAGAACATAATTCATAAGCTTGATCAGAGAACATAATTCATAAGCTTGATCAGAGAACATAATTCATAAGCTTGATCAGAGAACATAATTCATAAGCTTGATCAGAGAACATAATTCATAAGCTTGATCAGAGAACATAATTCATAAGCTTGATCAGAGAACATAATTCATAAGCTTGATCAGAGAACATAATTCATAAGCTTGATCAGAGAACATAATTCATAAGCTTGATCAGAGAACATAATTCATAAGCTTGATCAGAGAACAGAGTACATAATTCATAAGCTTGATCAGAGATCAGAGAACATAATTCATAAGCTTGTTCAGAGAACAACTTCTTTGTGATCAGAGAACATAATCCATAAGCTTGATCAGAAAACATAATTCATAAGCTTCTTTGTGATCAGAGTGTGTTTTGTAGAGAAAAAAATAATGATGAAACAAGGTAGCTTTTAGCACACAATGATACCTCTTATGCTTATCTATAATAATCAGTAGTGATACAATATTTATGTTCAAATTTCATTCATGAGTGGGATGTGCATGTTAAGCAGAGAATTGGAAGACATCGAAATCAGGAAAACATTGTAAGTTGAGTTGTTTATTTGTAAAGATTCTAGGTAATAATTCAAACTTGTGAGTAGCTTTATCTTGCCTAACTTGAAATCGGAGCTTAACATTGTTTACATTACAACTACATTTCAAATTCATTGATTTGGTCCCTCCATTGGCCTGAATGACATCTTTATGTGTTAATGAGCCATGAAATTCAATCTTCAATAAATGCAAAGACAATTTCGCATGAAATCAAAGCAGTATACAAATAAACATGATACAATTAAGTAGTTTGTGTTCCACTTTACAATGTAAGAATGATATCCATTTGTCCACAACCTCACAATTTAAACTTTGTGGTGGACAACCTCAATCAAAGCTGAGCAAAATATCACTTTTATTGCACTTTTTCTACATATAATTTAAAATTACAGAACCTTTCCAATACAAGACAATATCTATCGTTTAGATAAACAAAAAAATAAAAATACAGAACAAATTTTCCTCTGAATCATGGGAATCACATGTGCATAACTTGATAGAGGAGACATTGGCTAAAATAATTGTCTCCCCCTTAGTATACCAAAATAATGCTATTATGTAAATATGTTAATACATATGTATATAAATCAAGCAATATTCCTGTTTTTCTGATTAATTTCATGACAGTTTTGTGACTAGTGTTTCATTCTTTAGCATTGACAACCAACATTAAACTTGATGGAGATGTTGATATAGGCAGTCGTTGTAATTTGGTGCATTTCAATTATCATGATTTTAGTTGGGTGTACTAATATATGGATGTACATAGAAGGAATATGCTAATGATTAATGAAACCGGAGTGTTTTAATACAGCCAAGTAAAGGTATGTATCCATTAGGTATTAAATGACACTGGAATGTCAACACTTTCTGCTACTGGACTTTTAACAGACTTTGATTTAAGTACCTTGTACTGTAAAAGTAAATTATATAGGTACCAGTGATATGGTTTTTATAATTTGGTGGGACTTTAACAACACACATAGATATATATATATAACAAAGAAAAATAACCCTGAATCATATAGTTAATCAATTATTACTATATTATGTATGTTTTCTACAATGACAGCTGTGACCCAAATTAAGATGGGCTAGACTGAAGGTACACAATATCATATATATATGTGTATACATCAATAAAGGCTAAATCTTCAGTATTTACATCATTGTCTCACCTGGACAAGCCATTTAGTGTCGTTAATTCTGTAAAATCTCTGCAACACGTGATTTTTACATCTCCAGCACACACATATGGAGATATTAGCCAGGTGGCATAGGACTAGTAGTTAGCACCTGATAATGCAGCTCCTGCGAATTCCTCTTTATTGTATTGATTAATATATATGCTAATTGTATTGACTGTATAAAATTGTATATCTATGTACTGTAAAGCGCTTTAGAGTGGCTTATGTTAGCTAGATAGGGCGCTATATCAAATGTTGTATATTTATTATTATTATTTTTTTGTAGAATACTTCTTTTGAAGAGGACTTAAACAAATATTTCACAATAGTGACAATGGTAATACTACAGTTTAAGTTGCCTGCACATTTTACCTTGATTGAGCGGCATCTCAAAGATCTATAGATTAAAAAAACCTCTTTGATTTCTGGATGATGGTAAGTCTTTTGATTTACTTGGCATACACTTCGGTTTATGTAGATAGCACCAACTGTAACCAAACACACGGGTGAACAGTTGGATTATGTAGATAGCACCAACTGTAACTAACCAAACACACAGGTTAACAGTTGGTTTATGTAGATAGCACCAACTGTAACTAACCAAACACACGGGTTAACAGTTGGTTTATGTAGATAGAACCAACTGTAACTAACCAAACACACGGGTTAACAGTTGGATTACCAGGTATGTAGATAGCACCAACTGTAACCAAACACACGGGTTAACAGTTGGTGTATGTAGATAGCACCAACTGTAACCAAACACACAGGTTAACAGTTGATTTATGTAGATAGCACCTACTGTAACTAACCAAACACACGGGTTAACAGTTGGATTACCAGGTATGTAGATAGCACCAACTGTAACCAAACACACAGGTTAACCGTTGGTTTATGTAGATAGCACCAACTGTAACCAAACACACCGGTTAACCGTTGGTGTATGTAGATAGCACCTACTGTAACCAAACACACAGGTTAACAGTTGGATTACCAGGTATGTAGATAGCACCAACTGTAACCAAACACACAGGTTAACAGTTGGTTTAAACTGTAACCAAACACACAGGTTAACAGCACAATATAACATCGACCACTGCATGTGAAAAAAAAGCAATATTAATAAATACTGGTAACAGTGAGGTATAAATCAGCTTGTGTCACTGGCGGACAACCCTTACTTATTTGTAATTACACAGTTAACAGCTTGAGGTATAAATCAGCTTGTGCCACTGGCAGACAACCCTTACTTATTTGTAATAATCAGCTTGTGTCACTGGCAGACAACCTTATTTATTTGTAATTACACAGTTAACAGCTTGAGGTATAAATCAGCTTGTGTCACTGGCAGACAACCTTACTTATTTGTAAATACACAGTTAACAGCTTGAGGTACTGTGTAAAAAAAAAAAAAAAATGTTGTCAATAGGCACTGAAAATGAAATTACACTGAATTACCAGGGTACCAACAATTCGAATTACCATTAGATTGAGGAAAAGTCAAAACACAAATAAAATGTTTTGCAAACCAATGATTGGTATAACAGTTAGGGAGTAACCCTCAATGGGAAGCTGTGTCATCCTATCATTGGAACGTCAACAACTTTTCCGGTTTCATCGGTAAATATCCGGACTCGTTCAGGCCGGTAGTCCATGGTTACCATGGATCCTTTAGGTAAAACCTGCACCTGAAACACAAAAACATTAATCAGAATTAGCTAGTACGTACTATATAAGATGAACCAGAGCTGTACATCATTGCAAGATTAGTTAATAACACATCATTGTAAAATCAACTAGTAACACCCATCGTTATAATATCAACTAGTAACACCCATCTTTATAAGATCAACTAGTAACACCCATCGTTAAAAGATCAACTAGTAACACCCATCGTTATAAGATCAACTAGTAACACCCATTGTTATAAGATAAACTAGTAACACCCATCATTATAAGATCAACTAGTAACACCCATCGTTATAATATCAACAAGTAACACCCATCATTATAATATCAACTAGTAACACCCATCGTTATAGGATCAACTAGTAACACCCATCGTTATAAGATCAACTAGTAACACCCATCGTTATAAGATCAACTAGTAACATATACCATATAGTATATCACTGCAGCATCAACTACTAATATATGTCATTATAAGATCAACGAGGTATACACATCACTGGAAGATCAACTACATTGTATATATACAGCTAGTATGTATACATTACCGAAATGTTTGGGTACTCTTTCCGAATGATCGCTTCCGCTTCTTGCCATGTCTTGATAAAAAAAATACAAAATGCATTTCACTAATATGTTACTACAGATATGTTGTACTGTTTATTCTCATTTTATGGTTTTTAACTTGTGTCTCATCCCATTTGTATTTTGCAAATAAAATAGACATAGACAGACAGGTGACATAGACAGACAATGCATGCAGGTAACATAGACTGACAGGTAACATACACAGACAGGTAACATACACAGACAGGTAACATACACAGACAGGTAACATACACAGACAGGGTGACATAGGCAGACAGGGTGATATAGACAGACAGGTAACATAGACAGACAGGTAGCATAGACAGACAGGTAACATAGACAGACAGGTAACATATACAGACAGGGTGACATAGACAGACAGGTAACATAGACAGACAGGGTGAAATAGGCAGACAGGTGACATAGACACACAGGATGACATAGACAGGTATAGGTAACATAGGCAGGCAGGTAACATAGACAAACAGGTAACATAGTCAGGTTTAGGTAACATAGACAGGTATAGGTAACATAAACGGACAGGGAGACATAGACAGATAGGTAACATAGACAGACAGGGTGAAATAGGCAGACAGGTGACATAGACAGACAGGTGACATAGACAGACAGGGTGACATAGACAGACAGGATGACATAGACAGACAGGATGACATAGACAGACAGGTAACATAGACAGACAGGGTGACATAGACAGACAGGGTGAAATAGACAGACAGGTAACACAGACAGACAGGTGACATAGACAGACAGGGAGAAATAGACAGACAGGTAACATAGACAGACAGGATGACATAGACAGACAGGATGACATAGACAGACAGGTAACAAAGACAGGTATAGGTAACATAGACAGACAGGGTGACATAGACAGACAGGTAACATAGACAGACAGTAACATAGACAGACAGGGAGATATAGACAGACAGGTAACATAGACAGACAGGATGACATAGACAGACAGGTAACATAGACAGACAGGATGACATAGACAGACAGGTAACATAGACAGTCGGTAACATAGACAGACATGGTGAAATAGACAGACAGGTAACATAGACAGACAGGATGACATAGACAGACAGGTAACATAGACAGACAGGATGACATAGACAGACTGGTGACATAGACAGACAGGTGACATAGACAGATAGATAACGTATACAGACAGACATGAACACATTAGCAGGTTGGAGAAAACCACCATCTTGCGTATATTACGCAAACTTGCCTATTATACGCCAGTTGTAGTATGGATTTGTTACTAAAAATAACCCAAATCGCTTTAACAGTAACTTTTGCAAGATATTATTAAAAATCGCATTAATTTACGACAAGGTAAATAATATTTTTACAAAAGATGTTTTCTGAAAGCGTATACTTAGAAACTTGATGTAACTTTACCGGAAGTATTGCATCTATTTTTGGTACTTTCCCAAATGCAAATAAAGTTTATTTTTGCATTTGTATTATGTTTCATGACTGAATAAATGCGATTTTGACAAACAATTTGAAAAAGTTAAGATTAAAGTGATTTGGGCTATTTTTATTTTTGGCTACTGATTAAGATAGACGACAGGAGTAAGACATTTTGTCATTAATTAATAATAAGAGGAATATAAAGAACTAGACTATTTTAAAAAGATAAATAGATTTTTTATATTACTATCAATTATATATTATCGACAAATAATGGGTCGGGTTTATCACTAAAATGAATGATGGGGTGCCATACTCCAATGTCCAGCAGCTTTCTAAAGTCAAGTGCCTGTTTTATAACGCATGGAAACAATTATCAGACCAATGATATCATGATGAAAAAAATACAATAAAACCGGTCATGTTATGTTACACATGCTTATCCTCCGCATTTCTGAAATTCATAATACAAACCTTTCCAATACAATCGGGCCAATCCATTGTTGACATTCTCGAAGTGAGAGTTGTCTGCACTTTATTATCGTTTTCAGCCAAGATGTCAGATTATATTATTCACAGTTATCTGTCGAACTGGAATACTTGAAACAGTCGTGTTCTTTGTATCAATATAACAAAACTATGGACTGTGTATCACTTTCGATATTTGGTATCACCAATAGCAAGCAAGATACCTTATCGAAGTTAACTCGTGATTCAAACCGGAAGTAAAAGTAGGTGGCGCCACTAAAGTTCTGTTAAACGTCAACGTGTGGGCCTAATGAATATTGAGATTCGAGCGTAGGTTTATCTCAAAGTAAGTAGCTATGGGCTTATATGTTTGTAATGAATAGGAAACTTGAATAATTGAACGATATCAATATTTTTTCTGAATACCCGAGTAAATACTCTTCGAATATTTACATTTCAGGTAAAGGTGAAACTGGTTCGATAGCTAAACAATCGCCGTTTGTGACACCGGCCCGCTGGAATATTGAGGAGAGACTGACTGCATGCTTAAGATACAATGGCATGCATTTAACGCTGAATAAATCTTCGCCTGTGCATTCATTTAACACTAAATTTAACTTCTTCCTTTATAAAGACAGTATTAATTGCTGAAAAGAAATGGCGTGTAAACTAAGAAAGTTGAGCAGTGTGACATTACTGCTGGTTCTACTTTTCACCGTTGTGCTGGATGAAGTAGCAGGTCGTGATGAAAAACCCGGAGATGTAGCGTCGGCGGTCAAATCATTGGGAAAGTCATCGTCGGAATCCAAAGAGAAGGTGAGTTTTCAGTTAAAAAGATAAAGAACTGAAGAAATCCGTTTAAAGTTATTGACTGATTTGTGGACGTGTATGTTTTATTATAAAACTACATATTAAGTACATGGTCCAATATTTTTTTGTTTTGTTGTCTGAAATAAAGTGAACACTTGCCCAAGTTTCGTCTGCCCCAACATCAGACGTTTGACATTTTCACAAATAAATGTCTGGTGTGGGGTCCGGGCCAGAGCGTACTACAACTGTTACCAAAACTTGGATTTTTTTCTGACACTGCTGTCGCTCAACTTCAAGGTCTTTTTTTAATTTTTTTATTTAGGCATATGGCATCTGTGACCTTTCAACAAGTTTGGTACAACCAGATACCCTTCATATGGACAATATTATGATCCTTCATCAGGTCCAGTACACTCTGCTAATTGAGCTATATAGATGTAAAGACCTATAATAGCTCTATTAACCTATCTGAAATAGGTCTTTTGAGCTATTTTCATGTGATTTTCTTTTAAGGAAAACGAAACAAAGTCGCTTGAGAAAGAATATTTTATCATGTTGATAACAAAAGACATTAAATATAAGTACTTTTTTTATAAAAAAATACGTAAAAATCTGAAATTTTACATTTATGAAAAATGAAAATAAACATTTAAATGTATGCTTTTTGTAGTCAACATTACCATAAACTTTATTGCTGTATGCGACTTTGCTTTAATTTAATGAAAATTGAAATCTGAGAAAATATAGCTCAATACAGCTATAATTTATAGGTGAATATAGCTATATAGGTGTTTATATTTATATAGTTCAATCAACAGAGTGTACTGGACCTGTTCATTTGGGTTCCAGTTTCTGCTTATACCACAGTAACAATTTTATTACTGAATTGGGTAATAGAGGTGAAATAAAACATGTCAAGTTCTTTAAAGCATTAACAGCAAAAAGATGCATCATTTTTTTATTACATATTCCAATATATTTTAAGCAATGAGGTACAATTGTGCACAAAAGTTAATGACTTCAGATTCTTAACAGGTAATTTACGGTAAAGAACTATAATTATATGGCTTTCTAACAAAATATGTACCCTGGATAATTATAATGTTACTAGAATATAAAATATGTGTTATTTTTTCACTTCTACATGCAACTTTAATGCACAACTATCGCATAAAATTAAAAACAGACATTTTTTTTCTTCAAAAAAATAAAACTTTGTCAAATGCACGAAATAATTAGATATTTGTTTATTCCAGATATAGTTAGACTACAAATAGAGTACATGTATTGTATATGAAATGAAATTAATATGTGTACATTACCTTACGTACCTTCACCTTAATTTTCTCCGTGCCAGAAGGCACATAAGGCCTCAACGCTGACTGACCAATTCTTCTGTCCTGGGCTGCTGTTTTGGCTGTGTTCCAAGTTCCCCACCCTGCTTGGTTCCTTTCTCTCTCTACTGTCCTACGCCATGTTGTCTTTGGCCTCCCTCTTGCCCTTTTTCCATCTGGTGCCCATCCCAAAGCTGTTGCGTATACGCAGTCATTCTCTCCTTCCCTTCTTAGTACATGGCCCAACCAATTTCATCGTCTTCTCACTTCATTATGTACATTAGTTTGATCATTTAATGGTCAATTTACTTCATTGTAACTATGATTTGTGTTAAATGAAATTATGTATGCTTTTGTTTTTTTCAGTTTGATAATGAAAGTTCAGATGAAGGATCTTTATTTGGCACTCTAAGAAAAGCCAGAGGAAATGCTGGATTTATTCATGCATTTGTGGCATCATTGTCTGTGATTATCGTGTCAGAACTCGGGGACAAGACCTTCTTTATTGCAGCCATTATGGCCATGCGACATTCAAGAGTGACCGTCTTTTCTGGTGCAGTCGGAGCGTTAGGATTGATGACAGTTCTATCAGGTACAACTTAATTTATTCTGATTGAGACCATTGTTCAAATACATCATACCGATCCGAAATTTCGATCTTAATATGAAGTGACAGCAAAATGATATTTAACAGAGAAAAATACATATATACAGTCAAACCTGACTGAGAGACTTCCTGTATTAAGCTTTTTAACTGAATCTGTATTAACGGCCACCAGGGTTTAGAGACCTCTTTATACAGCCACCAGGGTTTAGAGACCCCCTTTATACAGCCACTAGGGTTTAGAGATCTTCTTTATATAGCCACCAGGCTTTAGAGACCCCTTTATACAGCCACCAGGTTTTAGAGACCCCTTTATACAGCTACCAGGGTTTAGAGACCCCTTTATACAGCCACCAGGGTTTAGAAACCCCTGTTATACAGCCACCAGGCTTCAGAGACCCCTTTATACAGCCACCAGGGTTTAGAGACCCCTTTATACAGCCACCAGGGTTTAGAGATCTTCTTTATATAGCCACCAGGCTTTAGAGATCCCTTTATGAACTTGACTTGAGGAATGAAGGTGGTCTCTGAATACAGTCTATTACAGACTGTACCTGTCATCGACATGCAATTTGTCCAAATCAGGTTTGTGGTTTTGTATTTAAAAAATGCAGAAAGTAAGTCTGTTTAATACTTGTGCAGTACACTGAAGTTTGTAACTAGCAGAACTTTGAGAACATCCATGGGAACTGTGGACAGCAAATTCATGTACACATTTTTTTTATCTGTTCATGTAACAAATGATTGAAAGTGTTTATGAACAATAAAGTAAATAAATGTGAAGCAACATATATCCACAAACAGCTCGAGATATATGGTACATATTTGTATAATCATTGAGATTCTAAATATACCACATTTACCCTGAGCAGTATTATGTATGTCCTAGATTCCATTTGATTTCAACTATTTGTTGTTTCAGCTATCCTTGGATTCGCTACAACTATCATTCCAAAATATGTTACCCACTATGCCTCATCATTATTGTTTGCTGTATTTGGAATCAAAATGCTGAAAGAAGGTAAAGCATGTTCACTGGAAATGTCAGGTTCTCTGTATTATATAGCTATCAGAATCTAGAATTTGAAAAAAAACACTTATTTGGTGAAAACTTAAATAATTGTTCAGTATTTCCAAATATGCTAAGTTCACCTAAAAAGTGCTTGCCAACTCCGATTTCTGCAAAATTAGATAACATATTTAATTCTATGATAATTAAAGCAAAGTATAAGGTCTTGTCTGTGGTTAAGGTGACAGTTGAGTAAATTTGTCATACTGATAATAATGACAATGGAATTCTATGTTTGCATATTTTGCGTTTTAAGTTTCCTTATGTCCAGCTGAAGAGTCATACATCAGATGATGGATATAATGTTTTATAACTCTGTTGATTTCTCCAGGCTATGAGATGTCTGCCGATGAAGGTCAGCATGAATATGACGAAGTACAAGCAGATCTTAAGAAAAGGGATGACGAGGTGAGTCACCACACACTCTACTACTATACAGGAAATACTCTACTGGGTGATATCAACTTCTTCACATCCAAAGGTCAAGGTCGCTTAATATAGATAAAAAATCGGTTTCTGTACTTATATTCTAGAGATGGATGAAAATTAAACTTTATACACTGCTTTCTTACCAAAAGTGCTTGCTTGCATTTTAACAGTAAGGCATTGTTTGTATTTTCTTTTTGTATCATTACAGCGACTGAAACAGAGTTCTGGGGTACAGGATATAGAGACTGGCATCATACGCACACCAGGGCGAAATCTTTGCTACGGAATATTAGGAACAATTTTTCTTCAAGCCTTTACATTAACATTTTTGGCTGAATGGGGGGATCGGTCTCAGATTGCTACCATAATTTTAGGAGCAAGAGAGGTTAGTATTCTCAGTTTTCTGTTGTGGGGGTTATTTAAGTTGGGTATGTCTGTATATTTTCACAGTACATTATAATATGTGATTTTATTCACATTGTAATCGTAAACATTGATGATGACCTTGACCTGGTTTTGAGGTCACAAGGTCAATTTTTCTTGTATTTCACCGAAAGGCCTGTAGTCTAGATATTTGGCCTGCACCATGTTTTGATGAAGGGTTATAATTTATTCAAAGATTAACCTTTACCCTCTTTTAAGATGACATGTGTCTAATGTTTAACCAAGAAGCATAGCTTCATGATAGTTGGCCTAATGCTTAATGGTATAAAGTTCTATAAAGTGTTCAATCTGAATAAATGACCTAGACCAGTTTTGAAAGTCACTTAAGTAAATTAAAAATCTTATATGAAGATTCATTAGATGTAGAGTAATAAAATCTTACAACAAAGAATTAATTTTTATAAAGCGTATTTGAATAAAGTTGACCTTAAAACTCCTTGAAAGTCACAAATGTGACATGAATAACTGGTAGGTGATACAGACCCATTGGGTCTCTTCTATATAATCTCTTTTCTTGTTGATAAATTCTCTGGGTTTCTGATGTAACACAAAGATTTTAAATGTCAAATAATATAACTTAATTAAATGTATAAACGTTTTCTAAATAACTTTTTCTCCTGATTCAACTGGGGTTTAGATACACTTATCACACTTCTAGTATACACCGAAAATCTGAGAGTTGCACAAAGCAACATGCAAAAGACTTGTGTGCTGTTCCAGACTACCAGGTCTCACAACAGGCTACTTATCAGTAGATATCCTGTTCTTGAATGATGGGAGATTTCAGCTAATTTTGTCCAAATTAACCAATTTTTACTTAGACAAATTTGGTTTTGCTACCGATATACTTTCACACCTGAAGTGTACACAACACACCCTAATATACCGCTTGAATGCAAATAAATGTGACTTTTGCTTCAGAAACTTGCATCTTCTAAACGACATATTGTGTCACAAAATATTATGTTGTGTACTTACATTCTATGTCACAATACCAGTACATGTATTTATTTATGTTAAAAACCTATTTCACAATTCAAATTTGTTAGGATGTGTGGGGTGTCATCATAGGAGGCACTTTAGGCCACGCATTGTGTACTGGATTAGCTGTATTGGGAGGACGAATAGTTGCTCAGAAAATATCAGTCCGTACCGGTAAGTGAATTTACTCCAGTATGTAATATGGCATTCATCACTCCCTAAACATCCATAAACATTTACACCTTGTGTGAAAACAGACTTTTCAGGCACTTTAGGGTAAAATGATGAGTAGTTATCATGATAACCTAACTGAAATAACTTTTCATTTAAAGATAATATTTAAAGGCTCTCCTTAAAAATTGTGAATTTGGTATGTCAGATTTACATCACCAACCATCCCTGATTGGGGTTTCTTTATCAACTAGCTGTTCACTGAGAATAATTCAGTCTTAAGTTCAGTCTTAATGCTATTTTAACAATGTTTTCAAAGTTCGTGACCTTTCACTAGGTGTTAAATTGGTACTTGAAATGGATTTTAGAAGGAGGTGAAGGAATATCAGTTTTCATTCTAAAGTCTATAAAACTTGGTTCATTACATGTACACTGCACACGATCTGGTGTAAAAGGTTCAGTTTGGATGTGAAAAAATATCTTCATTTAGAGTTTAACAGCAGGAAAAGAATTGCCACTAGGAATAAATGAATAAAAAATCTGTAATAATTGGTTCAATACAAGGTCATTTTGTTATGTTTAAGATGGTAAATGTATCAAATACATATTTCAGAACTAAAAAAAATATGATTCATGTACTGATAATTTAAACTTGATTTTAAATCCTTGTAGAGTAAATTTGATTAATGCAAAGCACTCGAAATGATTTGTTCTCAGTATTACCATTATGTGTTATAATACATTGTAATTGATTGTAAAAAGTAGTAACAGAAAAAAGTTCATAAATCAAGTCCTATTAAGTGTATGGTAACAACATGTTTGTTCACTGTGAAAAATGCACTGTCCAAACAGCCATGCTGCTATCATAAAAAAACTACCGTATTTTTATGTGGAAAAATGTCACAGAGTCAATTTCTTTGATATCATTGAGCCTGGCAGTAAAAATGAAGTGTCTCTTATACTGATATTTTTTCTGGGTTTTTTCAGTGACTTTGACAGGAGGTGTAGTGTTCCTCGTTTTTGCACTGTCAGCCTTTGCCGTCGGACCATACTGACCATGGAGCAGCTTTTATAGGAGGACTATAACAAATGGAAAGACTTGAGATTTTTATTTATTTTTATACTAGTACATTGTATCTTGAAACCATGGTGACAGAGAAATGTGATATGGAAATACTCTTGCTGTTACTGCTAATGTGAAAATACAAAATTATTATGTAAATACCTCTTACTAAGGATATTGGTTTCAATCATTACTTAAAATATTAAGATACTGTGTTAAAGAATATATGGATTTTTTTTGCCATATTGCATTTTGATAGAAAGATTCTTGAAAATTATGCTGGAAAGATACAAAATTTTATAGGATATGATGTTTACAATAATGAAGGTTAATGCGTGAAAATATTAACCTTGTAAACTGGACCCGAGCTACACCTACCTGTAATTCTTTACTTTATTCTTGCTTTCAATAATCAAAAATAATTCATAAATTTTTCTTTACCTTTACTTCAGTATTTTCCCTTAAAAAACAATTTCCAAGCACATAATTTATGTGATGCTTTTATCATGCTTTACTTGCGATTTTAGCGATGATAATCACTCGATATGGCCTTTATTTCAGAAAAAATAATTGCATGGGTAAAGTGTGTCACTACACGATGCGAAATTTATCAAAAATACAGCTGGTTTTCAATTTTGTGGATTGATTACATAAGTTATGGTGGCATTAATGACCAGCTAACCTTTCAAGCTTTTATAAATATTTTTGTGTCAATAGAATATGTTCAACTGAATTATTTTAGCAAAATTGTCATTGAAACTGATAGTACTTTTATGTTCTAATTTATGAACATTGCTAACTTTCTTTTGGATGTTACTGGCATCTTTCTACAGGGTTGATGTTTAACTCATTCACCCCAGAAGACACATTGAACTCTTCCAATTCAAAGATTGAAATAGTTCATTATGAAATTTCAGGGGGGAATGAGTTAAGCTGTGTAAATACTTCTGACATTTAAGTTAAATTTGTCAGTACAGACAGTGTGATAGCACATGATCATTTTGACTATCAATAATCCCCAGAGATTACAGTGATGTTATCCTTTAAAAATCTCCACATTTACATAGCTTTACAAGTATTCGAATCATGATATCATTGCTTTTCATTTGAAATTTATGCAGTAATAATCAGCTTTCCATCAAAGTTTCACATCAATTCATTGATCGTGCATGACCAATGTAAAAATTATTGCAGAAGTGTACAATTTCATATTTGGAGTGCCTGGCACTAGCTTGCAGGGTTGTGCAATTTCATATGTAGAGAACTAGCCTGCAGACAGATTTTGAAAAAATCAACTAGTCCAACCATAAAATTTCATAGAAAAGCCATGACATAAATCCTACTAGTTCAAGGCACTAGACTAGGACACCCGGTATTAGAATACAGACATGATGTAGGTCTGATACAGTAAGAAAGGTTGTAAATATTTTCATTTTAGTTACATGATTTAGAAAATATAATCTACACAGTCATATAACATAAAAACATGTATTACTACATTTTTTGGAGATAATGAGTAGAAAATTCCTGTTTCCTAAAGGGGTTGTGAGGATACACAGCCAAAACTAGTGGTAAATAAGATTTGTTTGTATTAATATGTAAACAGAATGGAATTGGTTTCAAGTACACAGGTTTTATGTGGACTAGGAGAATAAATTGGGGTCATATGTCTTATACTCGGGTCACAAGTGGTATATCCTGGACTTGAAAATATCAAACCACATTGGTGTAGAACCACCTGGGTGGAATTTATCAATCTTAAACATTCCTCTTTAATCAACTCAAAAGCCAAGGGTTCTGCTCTAGATATACCTACCTATGTATGATTACTCTCCACTCTGGTAATATAAAATGACAAAAATAAACATCCTTTGTATAACAACTTACTGGTCATACAAGTTGTCTGATTTCTCAGAAGAGAAATTGTGCAGCGGTGTAATGATAAAATCAACAAGCTTTAAGATTGTGTGTATCTCCTCTGTTGTCTTCAAACGACAAGTATCAGCCTAGCAGTTGATCAGGGTTTTTATACCTGAAACCAATCAAATACCAAAAGCCTTAAATTTTGTTATGACATATTCAAAGCGTGCTGAGGAATAATGCGTATTTGGAGAATAACCCTTGGGTTTCGAAAACGCCCTATGGTAAGTGAGAAAGTAATTTCTAGATCTCGTATAGAATGTCTCTGTTTTTGTGTAAGAATTTATCAAACTTTTATGTATCAAATCAGGTTTTATGTGTCAAATCAGGTAATAGAAGTGGTTGACAGCAAGCAGAGGTTAGATTTACGACACAAACGTAACATACATTGTATGCTGACCTGAAAGTCTTCCATTCTTGTGGCTTTCAATTTAATTAGTTTGCTGTGTCTTTTATTGGGTTTGACATTGGCTTTCAAATCAAGTACTGATGATAGAACAGGTACTGGGTTCAATATGTTGTACTTTGTGATAGGTAAAGCTGTTGTGTATGTCTGAGTGATGTCACATGTATGAATGAATAGTTCTGGTAATATATGTATGGCCTAGGAGTAAGAATGTATGCATCTTTGTGTTGAAGCAAGGTCAGAAATGGGGAGTTTAAAGTGAGAGATGTTATCAATATAAGCTAATCACCACCGACAGTTGGAGTGTGGACTGAAGTCAAATTCAATTTAGTCATCTTTTTATGCATGTGTATTGAATCGAAAGTTGAATTTAAATTGTACTTTATTTAAAGTCAATTAAGTTGTCATATTTAGGCCAATGCTTAATATTTCCACTTTGACTGATCTAATTATGATCACCATGTTTTCCAGTCTTTTACTCCAGGCACAAGTTTATATACTAAATGACCAGTATTTTATAAACTCAACCATATTCAGTTGTTATCATTACAAAGTATGCTGTTAGGAAGCCTTCTCAGTTCATCAGTTCAGGGTTATATCTCGTACACATTTTCATCCTGTTATTGTTGTCATTTTGTCTCAAACTCACTATGTTGTACACTCCAAACAAGTGAACAAGTCACACAACTGTCAAGTGGATTATTTTGTTTTTCTGTCATTCATGAAGGGAGATACTTCAATATGTTATTGAGTAATCATATGTGCTAGTCTAGGTTATTTGTTATCTGTTTTCTGTTTATTATGTTAAATGAGAATTAATTTGTCCATTTTTTTTCCTTTTTTTTTCTTACTTTTATTTTTGCACTCTCTTGTAATCATTAAGTACATGTATATCTTTGACATGTCTGCAGCTAAGTTATATTGTGTAATCTTAGACAGCTTTTAGGGAAGTGTCATGTATTGTCTTACTACTATGTTATTCATTGAAAACACCCATGTTAAATATAAAGTTTATGAATTGTATAATGACCTTTTTGTGAGATTTTAAAGTGTTATAAATGAATTTAAGTCACTGATCGCTGATTACTGGTATATAGTGATGCTGCAATGGGTGTCATATAGATCATATAGAGCAACAAATGACCCTAGTGTTTAGTGTTTTTTGCAATACATTTAGGGAAACGAAATTCATCTGTATTGATATGATTAAAAGGTCATAAATTTGTTTCTGTTTCATATCAAAAATGAACAATTTTTTATTAAAGCTCACCAGAGGCTCATTAAAACGAAAAAGACTTGTTTCAGAAATAGCGTATGAAAAAGAAACCCATGATATCATATATTACAATTCTGTACATTATATTATAAATGTTATGGTGCTTATTTCTGTTGTAGTACAACTAATTTAAAGATGTATGTTACCTTTGATGTAATGTTTATCTTCTTGCCAAAGAGTTCCTCTCCAAAAAATGAGAGAGGGGTGGGTGGGGAGGACTGGATCATTTTCGGTAAGAAAGTTAATTTGAACTACTTGGTAGTCAATTAGTTGAATGAGATATTTAAAAGTACACAAGAACATACATAATAATATCACACAGATTAGAAATTGTTTTAGAAATGCTCATTAAAATTTTTGAATGGAGATAACCCCGAGGTGAATGCCAGTCAAATATCTGTGTAAACCTACCCAGTATACAGAAATAGTTTTGTTTTCAAGAACATTTTAAGAGTACAGGATGACTTCAAAGTAAACATATCAAAAAACCAGTAAAAACAATGTACGTCGACGAAATTTTGGAGGATATTCAAGGGGTTAAATATAAGCATGTTTAAATGTTGATTTCTGGTCCTTATAACCGGATAATGTAAAAGTGTAAATATACAGTTGTAGTTCAGTATGGTATTCATTAAAAGCAATATATTTTGTTTTAATCGGCGCATCAACTAGTAGAAATAAAAATTCCATAGCCTGTGATATGGTGAACCAATTTGGGTACTAATTATGGCCGAAAAAAGGACGAAATCTCACTCTGAGTTTAGCGTTCTATTTTCAATAACAAATTACTTAGATATAAAACTTTTCCTGAAAATAAACCACCATAGGTAGTCTTTGTCAAGAATCAAGAAACATTCCAGATACAAGATCTGAATTTTTAAAGATCACTAAAACACTGTCAAAATTGTACCAATTGTGGTAGCGTGACGTTATAGTCATCACTTTTACTGCATACGCGGATGCTCTTTTACAACTACCAACACCCACTTATGGTATATATCATTTAAACCCAACTGGGGACATACTTGATATGAATTATAAGGGCCCCCTAAAACAATCACTCATACATGTTGTTTTATGTAGAACAACCCTTATCACATTATCAGGTACTAAGTACCTAGTCTCGATATCTGTGGGGAAAAAAATAGATAAAAGAATTATGACTGTGTTTGTTAATCCGCCTAAAAGCATTGAATTAGTAACAGAAAATATTTGATTTGATCTTTTATCAATTGTTTATTCATAATGGCATACATTTTAGTGTGTTAGTTTTTGTGTATAGAACACATGCAAGTAATTTCTCACTTACAGAATCCCACATTCTGTAATTAGTCATAACAATAAATAATTCAGAAAAAAATGTCTGTCTGCAACCCACTGCATAAGCTGCAATTCATTAAGATCACTGACTAGCTATTCAGATTTCTGGCCACTGATTGGTTTTAAGTGGAGTTAGTTTTCAGTTTGCTGTTTAGCGGCTATGACATGCATGGCTAAGCAGATTACTATTGGACTGCGACATAGTCATGACATACATGGCTAGTTGGCTACCGATTGGACTTGAAGATCACTGACTACCGATTGGCAGAGATTTGTGCAGCAATCGGCAAATTGATTAAATATGTAGTTGTAGGCCCTGCATCAGTGCTGATACAAATTTTGTTATGAACCAGATGTTCTTGTTGTTAATCTTGCAGCATTACCCTCTTTTACCGGATATATAAAAGAGAATATATTTTGTAGGGATAGAAAATGTATAGTGGCCTCTTGATGTAGACTCCCTTTCTGAATGTACACATATTTATTAATAATTAGCCTTAGCATTAAATACAAATGTTTCATTTATTGAACAACAAGTTTTATTTCTTGCAAAAAAAGGTTCTACATACATTTTCTATATGCTTTATAGTTGACGAGCACAAAGCACTTGATTTAGGTTTAGATGTATATACTTGCTTCTTATGCGATAGAGCTGGACTCTGTCATCAGGCTTTAAGTTGTAATTGTGTGGAGGAGTTATTGGGACTGTATACCTGTGTTGGAGCTAGAATGTGTGTGTTATGTAGGGATAAAGGTGTGATGTACATATATGAGGAATGGCTGTTATTCTGAGGGTTGAGATACCACTTTTTAATGTTGTATGTGATAAAAACATCCCAATAACATTGACTTATTTAAATAACATATATAAACAAGATGGACATGTATAAATATATGTATCTTTTACATAAATGTATTCATTCTGTTGCATTTAATTTCCTGTTTATGAAACTGACTCACCTGGTTATGAAAATTTCAAAAGGATGTTTCAAATCACGAGATTGTACACTTAGATATCAACTGATTTAATAAATAAAAAGTTAATTTACGACAAAATGAAAGCCATTTTATTAGAAGATATGTATGGCAAACTTTTGGTGGAAAAAAACAATTGTTTATTGATATTTTTATTTTTTTAGAAATACAGGTATATTTTAATGGAGGTCAGAGGACTAAAATAAATAAATGGGCCTCTATTTTTATTTTTTCAAGTGCTAAAATTTTCTACTTATTTAATATCATTTATTTAAAACATTTTTGTATCATTATTGAAAGAACAAAATACAATTTTGCATATTTTGAAATGTATGCAGACTGTTGTACAAGTATTAAAAATGTATGTTAGTACTTCAGTTAACTCATTACATTTGGATATGCGGAACACACCATCTGCCTTCATCTTCTACATCATCAACAGCGCCATTGGGACAGTCCATTATACTGTCATTCTTTGGTGATACCCGTATACAGTTCTGCGATGTCTCCACCTAGACTTGCCAATCACATCTTCTATGACCAGTAATGTAAATCATAGACAACCAAATGTTTGATAGTATCAGAACATTCGCTAAATAGTATTCATGTTGAATGGAACAATTCAAATCCATATACTAGGTTTTCAAACAATACTGTATTGATGCAACAGACAAGAAAATACACCCCCCCCCCCCCCCAAGTACAATTTTATCACATGGCTAAGCTGTAAATTTACATTGTTTTGATACATTATACATGTTCTTGTCAAATGTAAACAAAATAAAAGGATCCAGAACAAGTTATACACTTGCATAAACCTGTTTCATTCAAATAGATAATGCTGCAAATACACCACATTCAAAATTGTGCATATCGTCTCGTTTGATAATCCCCACTGTGATGTAAAGATGACAATAATAGATAGGAAACATAAACTTAGGATGTCATTGTGAAATCTCATTGAAGAAAATATGAAGTGTAGACATGAGGAGGGTTGAAGATATGCTGATAGATTAAGCTTCTTCTTTTTTTGTAAATATCCACAAAACTCCTTAAATGTGATTTAAGGAAGTTTTATGCTGTCAGTTTTTTTTTCATATGAATCTTGTTCAGACGATTTGCTTTTAGGTTGATTGTACATGGTTCATACAGGTCAGGAAAATGGTGATATTGGGGTAAGTGCTTATAAAGTACAGGAAAATGGTGATATTGGGGTAAGTGCTTATAAAGTACAGGAAAATGGTGATATTGGGGTCAGTGCTTATAAAGTAGAGGAAAATAGGTGTATCTTGGCAAGTAGTCGTAAATGACTATCTCCTTTTTAAATCTTTCTGAAAAGTGCTGGAATTTGCGCATATACTGGAGACAATTAACATGCTTTCTTTTCTATGAAACGGTTACCAAGTTTTGTGTGGGTATAAATTTATCACGAAAAGTTGGGTTTTTTAAGCCAGTTCTGATTTGTTTCATTTTGTGCTATATAGTGGTATTTGTATGCCAAAATCCAAATTTTCACCAGTTTCCGAAAAATTAAATTTCCAAAATGGCAAGAAAGTGCTGGGAAAGTGCTTGAATTTAGTCCTAAAAATTCTGTGTGAGCCATGTCATATGAAAAGTTCTAGATCTGATTCATAAATCAATGAATCCAAAATTAATCAACGTACTATAGCTATCATCAACACATTGTGTGTATATAATTTCACAGCCGTTTTCTTTGTGGTGCCATAATAACATAGTTACTAAGGTGAAGAGAGGTTAATTGACATGTTGGATTGTACATTTAGTGTAGATACTTCTCAGGAATATGTTGCAGGGGGTAGATAACACAAGTGTATAACAAGCCTTGAATTCCAATAGCATATTTTACATATGATGTAGATGTGTCAATTCAACACAATGGAAATCTTAATAAGAGGTTACTACATGCTCCTGAGGGTTTCCACACCATACACTTTTTGGTATAACTTCCATTTGTGTTTGTTACAAGTTGATCAATCAAGTGTAGTTCAGTGCATTTTCATCAGGTTCTCCGACTGATATTAAGTAATGCCAGTGTGCTGAAATACTTCTCAACCAGGAGATGTGATCGTTTGTGTGTGAATCATTGTATTAAATACATACGAAATAAAGCAATATAAACAGGAATATCTATTTTTGTCATTTTATGTTGTGTATATTCAACAAGGAATTACCTGAACATGTGTGTCCACTGTATATGATTGTAGTAAAACCTATCATACTGCATCACTGACTTTGGCCATAGCTGTTAATAGGACGTAAACCACCAACAAACCAACTTTGATCTTTGGTTGTAATGTAGATACATCAGATTGTAGCTTATATGGTGTTTGTTTGGCAAACACTATCGACTAAATCCAAAAAAATGCTTTTACAATCTTTTTTAACTTTTGCTATCGATGATACCAGGACTTCGACTTCTAAATTAAACAGATTAATTATGGTTAAATGAAATGATATATTATACTGCCCTCCCAGAATTTAGTTCCATTCCCCTCATCCCACAAAAAATAATCAAAAACATCCTACAGTGATGAGCTGATACTATAGGACGACAACAGGAATTGAGAAGACACCAAAACAAAAGGAAAGACACAAATGATGAATTGTCAAATCAGATGCAATTCCGTCTTTGCGTATTGCAGAGTTATCTTCTCATGGGAGCAGGTATTGATTGTTACGTCATTGGTTTGTGCGAGAAAATTACGTCGTTCTCGCAAAAATTGATGACGTTACTCTCACAAACAAGTGACGTAACAATCAATACCTGCTCCCAAGAGAAGATAACTCTGCAATACGCAAAGACGGAATACCAGGTGTGGTGGAAGGGGAAGGTTTTCCTGCATCACAAGTGGCAATCAGGGAGATATCTCTCTAAGATATGAACGCATGTAGTTCTCCCTTATATCTTAGACAATGTGAACAAAACTCTAAGCATGGTAGATAGCGATGGGTGGAAATCGGGTCGTGATGACGACCATAAAGTTTCTTCACTGTGAAAAACTTCTCTCGATGTTTTGAACCAGGCACTAGAGTTGTAGGTCAATTGCAGTGTGTTAGCCCTCAAAATATAGGAAACTGGATCGTTAATACAGAGGAAAGGTAAATAAAAAGCTGTGTAATTACAGCTGTTATGTTTGTCATTGTTAAGCAACTAGTATTGACATAGTAAATGTCGGGTTGTGAAGCAAATAACGAAAAGTTTTAGTTTTTCATTAATTTCAAGGTTTGAAGCATAACAAGTACAGGAAGTAATCCTGTAATTCAAGTCTATTATCATATTGTTCTAATACAGCCAACTCCGAGGGTGAATGCTGAAGTAGAACGTCAATGAGGACTGGAAATCAACACCATGACTTGGATAAAATCCTAAAGCCAGAAATAAAAAGATTGAGACAATTAAAACTATTGTGCACATTTTGCAAGGAGCGAATTAGAGAGAAGGAAATTCCAAAGCGCTGTACTCCGAATAGAAGACAGACGGACATAGGGAGACTCGGAGAAGAGTTGAGCACAAGCACACAACAGTACAGGTGGGGAAGTGCTATGTTAAGTATAGGCTTACACCAGATACCACACAAGACGTTATCATACAGAAACCTTGCAATGTTCACAGGATTCAACAAGAGACAGTCCACTCGGGAAGTGTCCACGAGTGGAAGCAGGGTAACCACCAGTTTCACCTGAACACCACGGGATCAGTTCGAACGAGGTTAAAGATGTTGTGAAGAAGGTATGAATCGAATTGACACCATGTCCCCGTGGTATTCCTTATCAAGGGTATACAAATCCAATACAACTGAGATTGTAGCAACTGATGAGGAACATAGGGAAGAAATGAACAATACCATCATGTTTGCTAGAAGCAAAGGGTTGTGTTCTGCCAAAGATTCGGAACCATTTCCTTTTGGGCGTTGAAGACCTTTGTGGCATTCTGGGATTCTCCGGTTGTGTGGAGCATACCAGTGTGCTGAGTCAGCTGTTCAGGGAGGTCATGTCCAGTCAAGGGAACATTCTGCTGTGTGGTTTCCTCTGACAAACGCTTATGGATCAATTATTCCACATCAACTTATTGAAGTAATCAACGAGCAACTCCATTTTTTTCAGAGCATACATAGGAATATGAGGACAGCTAATTAGTGGAAACCCCAATTGCGTAATACAGTGTTGGAGGGTATGATATATCTTCATCTTGTCATCGATGTGGCACACGCGAAACCAGGAGACCTAGGACAGAATCAGGAAACCAAGGACCCTGGGACAGAATCGGGAAAGTATCAACCATCGAATCGAACCCATGATTCATTGACGACCTTCTGATACGTAACTACGATGGTTCGGTGCATGAGAAAAGTTGGTGTGTGTACTTGTCTAAAGGCAAGGAAAATAAAGTGCATGATAATGAGAAAAGAACGATTTCTATAACAGCTGAGTATCCAAAGAAAGGTTATCCAACAAATTGCAAATAACCCAATCAAGTGCCTGGTGAATGGTTCCGAGCATCACCGAAAGATATCGGTAGCATCTGTGATTCGCAATAACAAAAGCAGCAAGTATGAGGAAGATTGACAGATATGCTTGTTGGGGACCTACAAAAGGTGGACCTTCCAACATGAACTGCTGACCATATTCTATAGGACCTTTAATAAGGTATCAGATTCTTCTACCAACAATGGAACGAGTGGCTCCAGAGATCCATTCCGTGAGCAGGTAGGCTGCTTACGCAAGTGTCTGTGAGTTCCAGGTACATCCGTGGAGTTCCACGTACACCAGCGCTGCAACTTTCTCTGTCGTGATATTTGGTGGAGTAGTTCAAAGTCGGCAAGGCCAGACTGGTTTTAACTCTGAGGGATTCTATGAAAGAAAGACGGGAAAACATTATTTAGATTCGAATGGGGAGTAACTATTCACAGTGATTGGTTTAGTTATAAGTGGATAGTGCATGTGATCCGATTCCGTATTGCTGTCGGTTCTCTACAATACTGAACAGTTATTGTATATCGCACAGGCTGATACCTGTCCTTTGAAGATTACAAAGGAGAGACGCCCGACTTCAAAGCCAGTCATTTTTTGCCGTTACGAGACCGCGAAATTCTTTTGGTGTACATCAAAGGATCGAACTAGTCTTCTTGTCTCCACGATAACGCACACTTAACCTTCAGTTTGCTATGACATATCCCAGGGGTGCAGAGAGCGTAAGTAAGCGTAACCCCTGGAGTATCAAGGATCAGTTAACAGTTGACGTCTTTAGAAACTCTACTTATTTGATGTGATCGAGTTTGCATCTTCGAAATTCCTGTGTTATGCTCTCTAAATTAAGCAAGGCACAAGTACATTAGCTTAATCCTTTTATGTACATTAAATAATCGGCCTCCAGTGTAACGAAAAAAATGAAACGACACTTAAGTATCAGCTTTCCGCTTTTCTTTCACCTGAAACGAATAAAATAGCTGCCAACTTCGTGCCTCTGATTTTTAGCTCACCTACCCGACGGCGCAAGCTTGTGCCGTCGTACGGCGTCGTCCGTACACTGGCTTTTCTTTTAAAACGCTACTTGTCAAAGGGATTATGCCTAAATTTGTCTGGAGAAACCTTTGGAAAAGGGGACTCAACGTACGTTGTATAAACGAAGGGTTTGCCCCCCCCCCCCCCCCCCCCAAGTCAAATCCTTTAAAAGACTACTCATTGAGGTAGAGTAATTTTAGCCTTTTTCAGTCTGGAGTATCATTGGACAAGGGGTACTCAACATTGTTATCATGACATGAGCGTAACCCCAGAATTTCAAGTTTGCCAGATTGTGAGAATAAACAACCATCTTTTTGGAGATTGACGTTGGTACAACTTGAAAGATTCTTGCAATTTCAGTGTAGACTAACACTTTAGAAAATGAAGATCATGAGTTAATTTTTAAATGTGAATACGTACATTCTTAACATCATGTTTTTGAAAGTATAATAATGATAACAATAAAACCATAATATAATATCAAAACCCTCTTTAACTGACCTACACTTGTTTTCAGTGTTATCCGGCACTTTCACGACCTGATGGGCCACCCGGGCTCCTGGAGGAAATGGTCCTCTGTATCAAAAGTCGCTTATAATTAATTAATGAATAAATAAAAGTACAGTTTTAGATATGTAACTTATGCTGTCCATTTTAGTATGTTTTTGTATTGTTTTTGTTTTTCAGTACGGATCCTTTAACTTCGATGAAAGTGCAATTTAAAGGTAATATTTTATACAGCCTACAGACAGCATATTCATAAGAAGACTTGGACGCAAAAAGTCTGGTAAGTTTCACACTTACTTTAAACCGCAAATTGTCGGTTTATGTCATTCTAAAATGTTATACTAAAATAGTTGAATATGTTTCATTGTTATCTGATGAAAGCAAGCTATATATGTGAAGATTGCTATTTTCTTTTTTATATGCCGGTATGATCTACAAAAATTCGCTAGTTCATCATTTAGTCTAACCAAACCTTTGTGTCACAGAGCGCTGGTTTTTCGGTGATAATAAACGGAAAATCAGTTTTGAATGGTCTAAATAAGATAGAAAAGACAAAAAGAACAAAATATCGACATTAATCTTATTCCACTGCAGAAAATTTGGTAATGTTTGTATTTTTCAGGAAAACCCCACAACATGAACTGGATTCATCGCCTGCCGGTACACAGATTCTGAGTTAACTCCCCTGGGTATGGATGAGACTCTCGTTCTCAGACGTCATTTCATGAAAGCAAGATGGCGAGTGGCTGAAAACAGTTTCTCTTCTCAGAAAAAATGATTTGCAGAGGCAAATACGATGAAATGAGGTATGCAAAAGTGTCTATAGAACATATGACAAGTCATTGGCGGGATGTTATTTGTAAACAAGCTGTATATTGCTGTTACAAGTGGAAATAGTGTGTGGTATCCGTATTTAGGTCTCCTCAGGGGTTCGGTCTGAGGGTTTGGGTACAACCTTGTAACAGGTTCCGATTGCCACGAAGCTGAAACAGTATGAAGATAATTCCAAGATGAAGTGTGCACTTCGCTTCATCATTAACGATGCATTTGCTAAGGTGTGTTATATGAACTGTATACGACCATGCACACTCGCACTGGCACCGGTCGGTCTTTGTTACAATTACACCATACAGTTGATTCATTGATCTGACAACATTTAATAGTGTTCGATCATGTTATTGATTTCAGCTGTGAAGAAAAATGTAGCTTGTCAGCCATAGTTCACCAGTAATTTACTATGTACAATTGCTGTTTGAAAGCTAGATGATTAATTATCATGGCCTAGTTTAATTTAGGCCTGCATTAAATATAATATGTGTTTGAAATGTAAGCTATTTTAATTATTATAACAGTAAAATAATAATAATAATGATGTTTATTCAGGGAAAACAGACAAAGTACATTACATGGAGGACAAGTATAAACTAATACATGTTCAAGTTAAGATATAAGATACGTGTAGGTAAAAAATATTATTATGAGATCAGTTGATAGTCTCACACGAATAGGATTTAAAAAGTGTTGTAGTTGTCAGATCCACCTTTCATGTGAAATTTGTTACTGTTTTAAACAACATATATTTCAAACTTAGCTGAAATGATAATATATCAATAACAATTTCACTAATGGCAGATAAATCAGGTAAAAAAACTACAACAACGAAAATAACATGTATAAGGTCTATTATTGATGGTATCATGAAGAGGGTGATCATGACAGTAACTGAGACCTGACACACCAGTTACTGGTTAGGTGCTTTAAATTTGCACTCAATCAGGTAATCCTTAGTCCTAACAGTGATAGACGTTTTAACATATGGTAAGGCAATTTTGCAATTTTGACTCGGCACAATCATATATACGATTAAAAAATTGCTGATTAGCAGCCTCTTGTATAATAGAAGTATCAATGGGGATAAAGGTTAACTAGAAGGCTACCAAAATCAAGTAGATCCTTCATGTTTACTTTTGCAATAGCACTGTTTTTAGCTAAGGCGTTAGCCGCCAGCTATTGGTATTACTTTAGTTAATGAGCTCAAGATATTCATAAATGTCGATTTCACACAGACGCCTCTAGTGGTCAGCACTGGTACTAAATTGAACCATATACCGGACCTACTGTCTTTATTATGCGTAACTTTGGACTCAAATGCACTTGAATGGCTAGTAAATATCATTACTTTCCTTTGTAGAACATATGATCTTATCACAACGTCGTATTCTTATTGAAAATGCACCATGTTTATCCCAATCGGGAACTGCCACTTGACAGTAGGTCATGCATGCTTTACGCAACTTCCGGTAAAAATACTTCAGTTAATGAGCTCAGATATTCATAAACGAGACATAACGTCACCTATCGGTAATACTAAACAAACTGCAAATAAAATCCATTACCACGGACTCAAGTTCACTCACAAGTCATTGGATATAATCTTATTCTTAGTTAGAACTAAGTATCCTTCTAAAACTTCGTATTTACTCTTGGAACTGTCGCTGGATTAACTTTTTACACGGAAATATTGTTCTGTGATTGGCTTAAATTGGTGACTCTTGCAATTACGTCCCTGTTTACATTTATATATTGCGTGATCAGAACTATGAAGCAGTCCTGTTCAAACTAAATGAGGAAAATCAAAATTGCTAATCTGTAATAATATATATGATTCACGCTTCATATGATTATAATGTTTTCAAAATATTGCATATTCGTTCATCGTTGAAATAACAAATCCTTACTAAAAACTCTAAAAACAGAAACGACGGCCATGGTAGATCACGCGTGATGTTATCGCAATTACCCGTTTCCTTATATGGCCTTCTCGCTAATTACAGTTCAGCCAGAAACGAAAGATATGCGCCGATAGGCCTACATTTTATATGTCTGTTGGTGTGATTTGCGTATTTCGTTTATTGAAGTATTACCATATAACAGGACTCTTTTATTTCAATATACACAAAAACAACAACACCTTCGGAATGATTTCAGACATATACTACCGGAAAACACGAGTGATCTCCCTTACATTTAGACATGCGCACATTTTACTTTCGTTTTGTGTAGGCCTAGACATCATTCGCAACGCGAAGCGGAAAGGACGAAAATGCAGGCGAGTGTTGACTTAATGTAAGGCATGTTGTTTAAGCAGCATTGACAATGAACAATATGCATACACTTCTGCAACGTTTACCTACTACTGATTCATAAATAAGGCTCTGTATCCCGATTTCGGTGACTTGTGGCCAAGCATGCGGCCGAAGCCGCAGAGAATGGCGCATGTTGTCAGCGGCGATGACAAAAAGGAAGGTGCTTCTACGGTATGTATAGCAGTAATTATGCAAAAACAA